TGGTAAGGAATTCTGATTTTTCATGTGTGTTTGGACATTGCTGGAGGCATTGGGAGACACTCTGGTCTTGGAGAGACTCTGGAGGTGCGCTTGGCACTTCCTGATGCAGCGGGGGTTTGGCAGCAGGGCGGTAACGGGGGCCCGGCTGAAAAGGGGCACGAGGTGGTGACGGATGCTCTGTGCATCAACTGAGGTGGTGGTTATGTGGGCGGGTATGTGTGTCAGAATATGTTGCACTGTGCACTTTCAGTGGGCGTACTTTATTGTATGTAAATGAAACTTCAGTAAAGTTCATGTAAAAACATGAATTTAAGTCGGCCTCTCAAGGCTGACTTAAGGTGTTATACACATGTGTACTGTGTGCTTAAGGTATTAAGTACAGATGCCGTGTGGGTGTGACGGAAGTCATGGGCCTGCCCACGACACGGCGAATCTGGGAAGCACCGAGTCCGCACAGAAATGGATAGTAGGAGGCAGAATGAGTGCTCAAATGGGTAACTGAGCAAATCAGCGCACATCTACCCCACCTACGGCAACGAGTCCATTCTACACAGCCCCAGCTCCATGGGTGGCCCTGATTGGGGGTTGTCTCGGCTCCCATGACACCTGTGATGGGGTCCTCACTACCTCAAGTCATAGTCCTCTGCACCGTCCGGTCACTGGCACTGTGTGAAAGACTTTTCCTCACATTGAGTTGATCTTCCTGGCGACCCCCTGCCCTCTGCGGCTCCACCGGCACATCCGCTTCCCCACCTGGGGACAGCCCCAGTGTGGCCTCTCCCAGTCTGCTCTTCCGTGGGCTCTTCACCCCAGAGGCTTGGCCGCTCTGTCCACCAGCTTCTGCCCACACCTCCTGCTGAGGCAGCGGGACCAAGGCAAGTATACAGGCAAATAAGCAGTATAGTTACAAGCTGTGAAGGAGAAAACAGGGTAAGAATAGTGGGAAGACCACGGGAGGGATGAAGAGGCAGGGGAAGCCTAAGGAGTTGACATTGAGCTGAGTCCTGAAGGATGCGAAGGGGCCGGAAGAAGCAGAGGAAGGGCATTCCAGCAGAGGCAAGAGCATGTGCAAAGGCCTTGAGATCAGAAAGCTTTTGAGAACTACGAGACAACCAGCCTGGCTGGAGTGGGATGAGCTGGGGAAGGGCAGGCCATCAGGGCATTGATGATGAGGGGCCTGGCATTGCTTTCTTTTTAAAAAATTATTATTATTTATTTTTAATCCTCATTCAAGAATATATTTATTAATTTTCGAGAGAGAGGGAAGGAGAGAGTGAGAGAGAAAAACGTCAATGTGAGAGAAAAACTTCAATTGACTCCCTCTCGTACACACTCTGACTGGGGATCGAACCTGCAACCTAGGTGCGTACCCTGGCCAGGGATCGAACCCCCACCCTTTCCAATGTAGAGGATGATGCTCCAACCAACTGAGCCACCCAGCCAGGGCTGGAATTATGTCCTACCACCTACTAGGTCCCTGCCAAGTAGACGATGCCCACCTGTCTTGTCTCGTCACCTGCCAGCCCCAGCTCTTGTCCCACCCAGCCTGCCCCACCATGCTGGCCTCTTTGCTGTTTCTTGGACTCTCCAAGCAGGCTCCCACCTCTGGGCCCTTGCATGTGCTGTTCCTTCTGCTTGAAACACACTTCCTTCTGAAACCCACAGGCCTCCTTTCCTCTCTGTCGAGGTCAATGCTCCCTCCCCGGAGAGGCCCAACCACCTTAAAGAAACTGATATTTCCTAGGTCATTCTTTCTCTTTCGCCTGCTTTTCCCTCATAGCACTTGTCACGGGATATTGCATTTTACACTTTATTCATACTTCGTGTGCATGTTCCTTCCTGTCTCCCCTGAGAAGAAGACAGGAGTTTCCATCTGCTCTGTTCCCTGATGGCCCCAACGCCTGGGACGGTGCCGGGCACCCAGTAGATGCCTGGTACCAGTGTGCGGTGTGAACATCCAGAGAGGTGTGCGAAGGGTGGGAGGGGCAGACACTCCTGCCAGTCCTCTCTGTGGCCCCCGGTCCCCTCTCTGGGCATGGCTTCTCTCCCCTCCTACCCTCACCCCACCAACCCTCGTGGCCACAACGGGCTAGTGAAGCTTGTCCCTCAGGGAGAGGTTTCCAGCTGTGGGCAGACCCTCCCGCTCCTCTATCCTCCCCTACAGGCCTGATGGGAGCCATGGCCGCAGAGCCCCCACTGTCCACGGGGAGTTCTCAACAGACCAGGGCCCTGGGGGCAGACCCACGCTGGGCGTCCCAGGGCAAGCCTGCTCCTGGTCCCTGCGTCTTCATCTGGAAAGACCTGAGACTAACGGGAGTGACCAGCCCTTGGGAAGTCACTATGCTTGTCTCTGCTTACAGACAAGGAAACTGAGGCTCAGAGAGGTGAATCTGTCTCCAGGACAGCTGGAGCCACAGTGCCCTCCCCTGTAAAATGAGGACAATAACCCTTCCCTCCTAAGGTGGTTGTGAGGATTAAATGAGTTAAATAAAATCTTTAATAAGCACTTAGTAGGGCCTGACACACAGTAGGTGCTCAGGAAATGTTGGTTACTATAGCTGTTGTTTCCAGGGGTGAGCTTACTTACCAAGGTCCTCCGGGCAGCAGGTGGACAAGCCAAGATTCAAACCCAGCTCTGGACTAAAGTACCTAACTCCCCCTCACTTCCACAAAATAACAATAATAGTACTGACAATAACAACAACGACAACAGTAACAGTAACAGCGCCATCAACAACAGTCTTTTCCACTCCGTTTGGCAGCTCTCAGGGTCAGCACGAGGTTATCAGGTGGCAGCACCGGCCCGCGCCCGCAGCCAGCACCACGTGCACGGATTCCTCCCGCCCTCCGGCTTCCTCCGCAGGGGCAGGTGGGCAGCCCCACCACCTCCCGTGGGGGCGCCCCCAGTCTCGCCGCCTCGGAGGCCAAGCGGGGACCTGAGGGGCGCGGACAGCCCCCCGGGGCGGGCGAGCGTGGCTCCGGGCTCTGGAAGGAGCGGCGCGGCCTGGAAGACATTACACGGCTGTCGGCCGGGGGGCGTCGCTCGGAGTTCCGGAGGGGGTCCCGGCGGCGGACGCGCCGGGCGAGGGGACGGCCCCGCCACAAAGCGCGCTTTGTTCTGCGCTCCCCGCGGGAGCTGGAACCAATGGATTGGCGGCAGCTGAGGTCATCTGTCAGGCAGAGCCGGGGGTCAGGCCCGCGGAAGGGGCCCCGAGGGCGGGCGGGGCGGATGAGCCGGCGGGTCGGTGTGTGCGGGCCCATTAACCAGGCTGCCCTCGCCAGGGGCTCTGCGGCAGGTCGCTGCTCCTCTAGAGGCCTCGTTTCACCCATCCATCTGTCCCACAGGAAAGGTCATTCAGTCCGCCTCTCGACACTACCGAGCCAAGGACGAAGGGATGACGATGGTGGCGGTGGTGAGAGAGGCTCTGCAGTGAGCGCTCCCCACCTTCCTGTTCTGAGGAAGCGCTGCTGCCGTGGCTGGTAAGCACACAGCACCTGCGTCTGGTCCAGGGGAGTCAGAGCCTCTCCCTGGTCCCTGCTTTGTCGCCAGATGCCAGATTGGTCTGCCTTTTGCCAGGGCTGCTAGGCGGAGCTGTCAAACCTGAGTCCTTGAAGAACATCTGGGTGGGGGTCTGTTCCAGCGCAGAGCAGGGCTATGACTCCGTCCCCTGCTCACCGCCTAGATGTTTTTTTCTGACTGGAGGTACATCCGGTCTGAAAACTTTCCTCCACTCCTCATAAAACTAGATTCCGCTTATTCCTTCATTCACACCCCTCAGCCTGTGCCTCTGTGTTCCCATCCATGTCATGAGACAATTAGGCTTCTAAATACTCCACACAGGGTCCCCTGGGGGCCGGGGGAAGGCAATCAAGTCCAGGGAGCCCCAGCAATTGCCCAAAATATTTGTATTTCTGTGTGTGTGTGTGTGTGTGTGTGTGTGTGTGTGTATGTGTGTGTGTGTTTCTGGAGAAAGGGCTTACGGCTTTCTTAGGATTCTCAACTGTCTCCATGACCCAAAAAAGGCTAAGGAGCACTGGTTGTGTGTAGAGAGGGCAAGAAGCCCCCCAAACTCTGCCACTCTGGACAACAATGTGCCAGTACCTTAGAAGTTGCAAATTGAACCCAGGCTGGTGTGGCTCAGTGGATTGAGTGCCGGCTTGCGAACCAAAATGTTGCCAGTTCGACCCCAAGTCAGGGCACATGCCTGGGTTGCAGGCCGGGTCCCCAGTATGGGGTGCATGAGAGGCAAACACACATTAATGCTTCTCTCCCTCTCTTTCTCCCTCCCTTCCTCTCTCTCTGAAACTAAATAAATAAAATCTTTTTAAAAAAAGGAGTTACAAATTGAGCTATGTATTTGGCCAGGCTGTCCAATCCTAGGTGCACAGTTCAGAGAACACAGAGAGTGATGGGTGAAGGTGTTCACAGCAGCAAAATAACCGTAAACCCTCAAATGTCCATCAGTAGGAGAATGACTAATCAATGGTTATATTCAGACCACAGAACACCATGCAGCAATGAAAAGAATGAGCTCAACCTGTATGGAACTCATTCATTCAACAGGTATTTATCGAACGCTTACTACGTACCATTCATTGTTTTGGGCCTTGAGCCTGCAGTGATAAACAAGACAGACCAAGTCCTGTCTCAAGAAGTTACATTTCAGTGGGCAAGAGAGTCGTTAACAGACATAGAAGATGCTTTCATGGCGTGTGATCAAGGCCAGGAAGAAAGTCTGAGTACGGTGATAGACTGAAGGGGACGGGGCTGTTTTAGATGGTGAGGTCAAGGACAGCCCCTCTGAGGAGGCACTCAGGAGGGAGATGGCTGGGGCGTGCTGACAGGGAAGAAATGCAATCTGCAAAAAAATGTGTAAAAGAAAAGCGTTCTTTACTCGCCCACACTAACACTACTAGAAAAAGTTCTGGAAGGAGATTTGCCAAATTAATGAAGGTGATTGTCCCAACCAGGGAGGCAAAGAAACAACCAGGACTAGGACTCATGGTGGACTCCAGCTTGCCTCTAATATTTTAATTTTAAATGTTTAATTACTTAGCATTTTACTATCGTAACGTCCTAAAGGTGAATGTTCACATATAACTTATGAAATTCCAAAAGTGTATAAATCTACCATGGTGAAGAGGGTTGGTTCCCAGACAGTGAGGGGGCGAAGGGGTCCCTATACACTGCCTTTCACTGGACCCAAGCTCCTGGGGGCAATGGTTTGTTTGGGGAGGGGACACACCGTTAGATCAGGGGAGCTGGTAAGAGACATGTGGCTCAGCCTGGAGGATCTGGACGCTTTTTGGAGGAGGTGCCACCTTTGCTGAGCCTGAGACTGGCTGGCCCAGCACCCCCAGACTACAAGACAGGCTTGGAGAAGTCATGACATGTCCAGTGGCACGGCGCCAGAGTGGTTAGAATACGGAGAACCTGGAACTAGAAACTCCCCGCTCAGTCTCCTCATGCCTGGACTCCCTGCTTCTCTGGGTAACTGATGGGTCTTCTCTCAGCCGGCCCCTCTGCCACCCGCTTCCCGTAGCCGGTGGGCTATAGGCCCAGCTTGGCTCTAGCAGGCCGGGAAGCATCGCCACCTGCTGGCTGAAGAGGGAAACGCAGCTTTCAGCCTCCACTGAGAGCATTGAGGTTTCACCTTTCAAAACCCACCTCTTCCTTACGCATGACCAACCCCTCTGGGTCCAAGTCTCTTCTGCAATCCCCAAACAGTGTCTAGCAGGGCCCCTAGTGTTGCCTTCTTGAATCTTATCTTCAAGAAGAAAAAACCCTTTCAGGAAGGGGCAACCATTGTGTAACTAACCAATCATGAGCTGGTGGCACCTCCTGACAGCATAGTATACAAACCATGTCCTCCGATTCCTGACCCTTGCTACCAACCTTGGGGATAGACAGTCCATTCGACAGCTTGGCAAAAGCCCCCAGGGAGGGGCTTATCCGATGTCACAGTGGAACGTGTACGAGCTGGCCCTAGAACACAGATGATTAGGGAGCCAGCCTAATGAGGGTGGAGAGGGTGTCACCATGTTTGGTGACACAGTCTAGATCAGCAAGTCTCAGTTTATGGCCCCCAACCAGCAGCAGCAGCAGCAACAGTACCTGGGAACTTGTTAGAAAAGCAAATTCTCTTCCTTCACCCGTGTGGCTCAGGGTTGGTTGGGTGTCGTCCTGCAAAGCTAAAGGTTGCCGGTTTGATTCCGGGTTAGAGCATGTCTTGGGGATCGGAGGGTATATAAGAGGCAACCGATCAATGTTTCTCTCCGTCTCTTTCTCCACCCCTTACCCTCTCTCTAAAACTAAATAAATAAAATCTTTTTTTAAAAGCAAATTCTCAGGTCCCACCCAGACCTACTGAATTAGAAACTCTGGGGGTGGGGCCCAGTCGTCTGTTTTAGCAAAGTCTGAGGCTTTTTTAGCCAGTCTGAGAACCTGAACCATTGGTCTACAGCAACCACACCCCTGTCTTTACTAAATAAACTTTTATTTTGGAATGATTTTCAATGTACGGGAAAGTTGCCGAGATAGTATGGAGAATTCCCAGCCCACCCCCACTTCCCCATCTTACATGGGACTAAGTCGTCGAAGCTAAGACACTATCATTTGTTATTGCCACTACAATCCAGGCCTATTCAAAGTTCCAGTTTCCCACTCCTTTTTTGGTTCTGAGGATCCAATCCAGATATCACACTGCATTTAGGAGTACATTCCTTTGAAATTCTATCGGTCACCTCGGTCAGCTTTCCCTGGGACAGAGAATGGGTGGGAGAGCTGCTGTCTTCATTACTGGACTATGGAGACCAAGGCTTGAACATGCCAAGTGACCGACATCCCTTAGCAGGGCAGGGCAAACAGGGCCCACCTCGCTCTGTGCCCTTCCTCTAAGTATCCCCCTCCCCCCAGGACTCTGGGACCCTCTGGAATGTCCCACCTGGCCTACCCCATCTCACCAGTGCAGGTAACGAGATGCCCCTCCTAGAGTGGGCCCAGCCCTGGGAGAAATCCAGCCCCTGCCCAATCAACCCTTCCCCTAGGTTTGAGGCTGGAACAATGCCTAGTGACTTCAGCCTGGGCAGAGAGAGCCCCTCCCTGTGCAAGAGAGAGAGAAACACTGCTATTTGCCTAGGCAGATAATGTATGAAAGATGAAAAAGGCCACATTATTTTCAGTTTCTCTAAGAGGAATAGTCTGTTTCCCCACCCCTTGGATCTGGCCCAGCCTTATGATGTGCTCTGATCAAAAGAACTTAGCAGAAGTGACATTGTACCAAGTCTGGGCCTAGAACTCAAGAAGCTCGCAGCTTCTACTCTCATCCTCTTGGAATCCTGAGGCTGTCATGTGACCATGCCTGAGTTAGCCGCCTGCTGGAGAAGCCACATGGAGAACTAGTCACCCAGCCAACAGCCCGCCAACTGCCAGACAAGTGAGTTAGAACATCCTGGACAGACCCGAGGCGACAGCTGATTGCATGCAGTCCCAGGAGTCCACCTTAGGTGACATCAGAACTGGCCAGATGAACCCAGTCCAAACTGCCAACCCACAGAATTGTGGGCAAATAAATGACTTGTTTTTAGCTGCTAAGTTTGGGGATGGTATGTTACACAGCAAAGGCTAACTGATAACAATTACTCATTTCTTTCGGTAGTGGGGTTCCATTTTGATTCGGGAGGCAGTGTGCCAGTCCCAGGAGCTGGGATGTGATTGGTCCACTCAATTGTGACAATTCTGTTCCCTGCTGTCTTAGCTTTCTTTGCATCTAGGGGAGACAATGGTAGCTGATTTGGGCCAAGGAAACCTAAGTGGAAATATGCAGGGGACAGAACAGGAAAAAGACCTCTGAGAAAGGTTTGACTTTACGATAGAAGTGGACAGTCCAGCTGGCTCGGCCCTTCCTTCATGCCCACTACTTGCTTCCTGGAACAGAGCCATGATCCCTGGAGGCACAGCAGCCGTCTTGTGACCATGAAGCAACCAGTAACGAGGGAAGGCTGAAAGGACCACAGAGATGTGTGCCGCACCTTGGCCGAGTTGTTAAGTCAATGCTGGTAGTCACCTGCCTCTAGAATTGACGCTATATGGAACAACTTTCTCCTTGCTGAACTAGGTTTTCCTTTGCTTAGAGCTCACTGTGTCCCACATAACTGGATATACAAAGAGGAAAATGCAGAAGGATCCTTGCCCTTGGTACTCTGGAGCCTGCAGCCTGTGGTTCTCCAAACCCATCTCCTTTCTCATTTCATCCTCTCAGTAACCCCTCAAAAGCGAAGACATGGCCCATTTTCACAGGGGTGGGAACTGGGCCTCCCACACTGTTCAGCAGTGAGTCCAAGGTCTTGCAGTTAGCAGAGAGGGTGCTTAGCGCCAGACCCTCCTCCTTCCAGGCACAAAGAGAATGCCCCCCTGCTACACCTTTTGCATGGCCCTGCCCACTGGAGGCCAGGTGTGTCTTTTGGGCTTTCAGGAGTGTTGGCAGGTGGCAAGGAGCCTGCTATTGCAAGTCTGGAGTGGAAGCACCCAGGTACACCCTTAGGTCCGAGATGGTGGACTGGACAAGCTTGGCAGGGATGGTCTCTCGCTGTAGCTGCTGATAGGCTGCGTAACGGTGACAGCCCCCAAAGGAGTAGAAGTAGTCACCACCCTGGGCTCCTTTGATCCAGAGGACATCGATGGGGGGCACGCTGTCTGGGTCCTCCTGGAAAGAAGGGGGCACAGGGTGCATGAGCACAGAATAATGCCCGACAGTTTTCAAGGCAGACTTTGCTGGCCTGTGCTGAGTTCCCACAGGGGAGCAGAGTGGCTCATGCCAGCTTGTGGGAAACACTGTCCGGTACCCAGGAGTTCTGTGAGTTGGTTGACATCACCTTGGTAGCTTGAAATCCAGCCATGGTGAAATTATTTACACCAGGGCAATGGGTAGATGCTACAAATCTGGGCTTTTCCTCCCTGGAAACCAGTTTGTTAAACATTTATCAACACACCATGTGCACAGATATCTGCATATACGTACACACACACCACACATCTCTCTGGCACTATTCTAGACCGGGGCATCCGGTGCAGCCAGGATGACACAGACACAGCCGCTGCCTTCACGGGCTTCAGTCTAGCGGGACAAATGGAATGAAGAAGTGAGTGTCAGAGAGAGAAATGCTAGGAAGACAGTAACACAGGTGGCCATGCCACGGATGGGGGTCCACAGGCCTCTCTGAGGTGACAATGGAGTGGAGAACTGCACATAGAGAAGCCCACGTGGAAAGATAGAGAGTCGGAATAGTTTAGAATAAGAGCCTGACGGCCATGTTCAAATCTCAGCTCTGCCACTTAACAGCTATGCGACCTTGGACAACTAATCTCTTTGTGCCTAAGCTGTCCCATCTATCAATGACGCATACAAAGCGCTTGAGGATAGACGTGAGGGAAGATCACTCCGGGCAGAGGAAACAACGAGGGCAAAAGGCCTGAGGCAGGAACAAGCTGACTGTATTGGAGGCGTGGCAAAAACTCCGGCTGACCAGAGGACACTCAAGGGGGGCTGCGCAGAAGAAGTCGGAAAAGTCGGGAGGAGCCAGCCCATGCGGGCTGGTTTCTAAGAGCGGTGGGGGGCCCTGGAGCATTTTAAACAGGGGAGGGTGACAGGACCCAATGAACATTCTGTGAGGTTGTAGAGGAAAGCGGGCTCGGTGGGGTGGACAAGGGCAAAAGCAGGGAGGGCAGGGATGAGGCCTCAGCAGAGGTTCAGTGGAAGATGCTGGCCTGGGGGAGGGGTAGCGGGGAAAGGGGGAGGTGGACAAGGCTGGGGCATGTTTAGGGGGCAGACCTGAGGCGACTGGCAGAAGGGGTGAATGTGAGGAGAAGAGGAGGAGAGTCTAAGCGGACTTCCTGCTACGGGCCTGCAGCCAGCTGGAGTGTGGGTGGTTCTCCAAGTAGGGAAGACCCGGGGCGCGGCTGGGTGGGGGTAGTGCACGCCAGGGAGACCACATTAAGTGGGAGCTGCTTGGAAGTCTTCCCTCCGCTGGCCCATGGGTTCTCCCTTATGCTGCTTTGATGGATTCATTTATCCACTTATTCTAGAAATGATTATTAAACAGTTATGAGCAGTTACAAGCCAGGGCTCTGGAACCAGGCAAACCTGGGTTTCAATCTCAGCTCCTTCAAAGAGCGGCAGGAGGACCCTGAGCAAGTGGCCTCGTGTCCCTGAGCATCGTCCCTAACTGGTACCATGGGAGTGAGACGCCCCACAGGGCTGCTGGTGAAGGGTTCGGAAGTCAGTGCAGGGAGGCACGGAGCGCGGCCTGTCGGGCAGCGAAGCACTGATAGGGGGTAGCTGTGCTGGGTGCCAGTGGCATGGTGGGCGGTGGATGGGCGGAGTAACAGCTCCCCAAAATGGCCACATCCTGTTCCCTGGAGCCTGAATACATTACATCCATGGCATAAGGGACTTGGCAGATGCAATTAAGGATCTTGACAAGGGAGACGCTGCTGGCTTTGAAGACAGAGCAAAGATGCTATGAGCCAAGGAATGGGGTGGCCTCCAGAAGCTGGGAAAGGCAAGGAAACAGATTCTCCCTGAGAGACTCCAGAAAGGAATGCAGCCCTGCTGACAACTTGATGTCAGCCCAGTGAGACCCATTTTGGACTTCTGACTGGAGAATGACAAACTGTATTGTTTTAAGCCACTAAGTTTCTGGTACTCTGTGACAAGAGGCATAGAAAACTGACTGGTTCTCGCCCTCACAGAGCATGCACTTGTAGCATGGAAGGCAGGTGTCTAAACAGTCCATTAAACCCCAGAGGGACCAGAACTATGCCGGTGGGCGGGTGTGCAGGAGGCTAGGGGCCCACAGAAGGCCCCTAACCCAGGAGGGGCCATCAAGGAAGACATGGACCCTGAGACAGGAAGGCTGAGGGGTTAGAACTAATAAAGAAGAGAGGGAAGAGTGTTCCCGGCAGGGTAAGAAGCCTGTGCCGAGGCCCAGGGTGGGAGACAGCATGCAAGACCAGACCCTCCACGGACAGCCAGGCACTGTGCTAGTGCTGAGGAAACAGCCAAGATACGACTTCACATAAGGTGGGGCAGACAAGGAAACACCGACAAATAAATGTATAGTGTAATTCCACGTGGACATAGGTGCTTCATGGGGAGATACCTCAGGTTAAGGGGACAGAGAGAGAGAGGCCGGGGATGCATTAGCCCAGGTGGACAGGGAGGCGGAGACTGAACCAAGTGCGGGCGCAGGCCCTGCAGCTGCCCGGGGAAGCAGTTCCAGGCAGTGGAGCAGCAGAGCACACCCTAGGACTGAGAGACATTTGGGGGAGCTGTAGAGGTGTTTGGCGCAGCCTTGGGTCTCACATGGTCACCTTCCAAGGGTCTGAGCGAAGGGGACAAGATACCATGCAGCTTAACCTGACACATGCTCCCTCCCCAAAGTTCCTGCCAGGATCCCCCCTGCATTCCCAAACATCCTCCTTCACTGACGGGGCTGACCACGTCCTCTCCCTGTTCCAGTTCAAACAGGCCCTCCAGGCGGACAGGACATGCTGGTTCCTCTGACACTCCTGTGTACAGCCAGAGGTGACAGCTTATCTCCAGGTAGTATGGTGGTCATGCTGCTAGGCAGTGGGGCCGGGCTGTGCCACTTTCTAAGTGACCTTGAAAAAGTTGCTTAAATCCTCCCATGCCTCAGTTTCCTCTTCTGTAAAAGAGGAACAATAGTAGTATCTACCTTATAGTGTTGGCATGAAGAAGCTAAGGCACTTAAAACTGCTGCTGGGCCACTGCAAGTGCTATCTTTATGTTAGCGACCCTTATTTTAACTATACTATCAATCCCCTGCTTGCTCAAGTGAGGCAACAGAGGCCCAGAGAGGCCCAGCCACTTGCTCAAGATCACACATCAAATATAGTGCTCCAGCGGAGCCCGGAACCAGCCCCCTCTAGCGTTCCGTTCGACCTGCCTCGTCCGGCACCCTCCCTCCGACGGGCGTCCCCGGGGCCTCACCCGGATCGTGTCCACGAGGCTCTGCACTTTGGCCGGGTCCAGCACAGACGGCAGAGGCCGGATCAGCACGCTCAGTGGCACGTTGTGCACCGCGGCGATGCAGCCGGAGTGGATGCTGCCCCCCTGCGCGCCACCGCTGGGCCCGGGTCCCTCGGGCGCCCCCCTACCGGCCCCAGCCCTACTCAGTGCTCCTGCCGCTCGCAGCCCCATTGCGCCGCCACTGCTGGCTGGGCCGCCTCCTTCTTCACCCTCCCCACCCGGGACTTTAACCCGGCCGGGCCGTACCATTCCTCGCAGGCCGGCGGGGGCCCGGGTCAGGGTGCCTTTCTCACCAGACCCGGCGGTGGTCCGGTCCCATCCAGGCACCCCACAACACAACGTGGGCTCGGCTCGCTGGGCTCTGCGGAAGCGGTGCGGGGCTCCGGCTCTCCGCTGGGGGGCGCCTCGTCCTCTCCCCTCTGCCAAGTGAAGTCCCGGGAGTGGAAGCGCCCGGACCGGCTGACTCAGGGTGAGTCTGCAAGTCGTGGGCCTGAAGAGAGCGGGTGACGCACAGTCCGGGGTGACTCAGGCCTGCGGGGTCGGGGCGGGGACAGGGGGGCGGTGACCGAATCTGTGGAGCGAGGATGAGTCGGCAAAACCCACAGTACTTGGCCGCGGGGCAGTCAAAACCCTTCGGGTAATAGCCCTGGAGGTGATAATAATAATGGCAACAGTGACTGTACGAATCTGGTGCTGTGTCAGACACTGTCCTAAACACTTTGCATGTATACCAACGTAGTTAAACCTGGAAACAATCCTGCAAGGTAGGTAGGATTATTATCCCCTCTTTGCAGATGAGAAAACTGAGGCACGGTGATTTGCCTAAGTTCATGGAGCTAGGAAGTGGCTGAAGCAGGGTTCGAATCCAGACAGGCTGGCTCCAGCATGCGCCCCCCGACCCCACCGCTGGTTGCCTCCATTCCGCAAAAGTAACTGTCACAAGGAGCCTTCTGGAGTCGCGCTGACAGTGTGTGGGCTCTGCCCTAAAGTTCCACACTGACTCATCAAATCCTGACAGCTCCCCTGGTGGTCATGGAACCGCGGGTCTAAGGTACAGCAGCTGAAAATGAAAGTCAGTTCATCTGAGCCCAGAGCCTGGGGCCACTTAACCACAGACACCTGCTTACAGATGGGGACCTTGAGCCTTCAGAGGATGGTGGCAATGCCTTGGATCCAGACGTGCTGACTGCCAGCCCCGTTCTCCTCTGTTCAGAGCCCTCTCTTTGTTCCCTTGGGCCCACGTTCAGCACCCAGTGTCCTCTGGGGCCAGGGAGAGGTAGACAGAGGGTCCGGGGTTAAATTTCAGGTTTTTATCAGCATCTATGTGAACATGGGGGCTTTGGCACGGGTTGGCCTGGGTTCAGGTCTCATCTGGTCAGTCCCCAGCTGTGTGGTTAGAGGCAAGTTGCTTAACCTCTCTGACCCTCAGCCATCTCTTCTGTAAAGTAGTTCTGGGGAAATCTGGGGGACACTCAGAGATAATGGCTGATGGAGGGCAGGGTAGGGGGAGTAAATTAGTGCTTAGTGGTTGGCCAAGTACAGAGTGGTTTTATCACGAACACTCAGAATGCTTAAGGAGAGGTTATTTTTGACTGAGCGTGTCAGGAAAGGTTCCCTGGAGGGGGCATCCAGACTGGAAAATGGCGTGGTCCTGGAGCGGGAGAGGGAAGAAGCGGGTGATGGGTTAGGGTGTGGGCTCTGGAATCACTCCAATGGCATGGATTTGAATCCTGGCTCTACCTCTGCCTACCAGGTGTGGTGTCTGAGGGCAGGGGTGGTTATTCAACTTCTCTGTGCCTCAGTTTCTTCCCTGAATTTCCAGGGAGAGTAAGTGAGAATATCACGTTAAGTGTTTAGAAAGGTGCCTGGCACTAGAAAGTACTGGGTGAAAGGCAGGTATGAAGGACATTCCAGACATAGGGTCAGCTTGAGCAAAAGCAGGGAAGGTGGGACAGTCCCAGAGCCAGTTAAAGACAGGCGCGCCTGGCTTGTTGTCCTCCTCACCCTGATGGGCACCTGCGTGGGGAAGGCGAAGTCACCCTCTCAGCTGGAGAAAACCAGGAATGGTACCCACTGGGGGAGGGGAGCTGCTACACGAGCCAGTTACTGACACTGTCTGAGCCCTGTACAGAATGGGGTAATGCTGCCCATCGCTCAGAATTGTTGGGAGTGTGACTGAGAAGGTGTACATGAGTGCCCGGTGTGTGACAGCCATTTTACTTCTGAAGATCACTCATGTTGGGTTCTTAGTCTCTTGTGAACCTTAGAATGCTGAGGTCCTCAAAATGTAACCCCTGTGAACTACTTAATTGTACTTTGTTTCTGGAAGTAGAACTGATACCCATACCTCAGCCCCAGAATTACGGAGAATTAGAGAATTTCATCAAGAGGGAAATTGGTGCTTCTAGAACCACTTCCTCATCACTTCCTCAATAAGAAGAGGCAGGAGAACAGCATCTGGAATGGAAAAAATGGGGATTTGACCTGAATCTCTCACTGTGGTATGCCCAGTAAGGCCTCCCACTCTTGGTATCAAGTTCCATATGGGAAGATGCCTGTGGTTCAGCTCAAAATGGCTTAAACATTAATTAAAATTTGTTTATTTCCAAATATGTTTGGAGGTAGGTGTATCCATGGTTGGTAAAGTAATTGATCACTGTCATCAAAGAGCCAGGTTTTTTCCATCTTTTTGTACCATCATTCCCCATGTTCTGGTTTTTATCCTCAGGCATGCCCCTCATGGTCCCAAGATGGCTGCCGTGGCTCTGAACATCACATCACTAACCACTGTCTAACCACTAACCACTGTCTACCCTCCTACCCCCTTGCCCAGGAGCCTTTTCCTTGTAACTCATTGGCAAGAATTATATCATGTCCATGCCTAAACCAGTCCCTGGCAAGGGGAGTAGAGTTACCGAAGCAGGCTTAACTTAACTCTCATTTACCTATGGGCCTAAGAGGCTCTACCTTCTACCGACGTTCATGGTCTCTGATCTCTGAACACAGCTGGCAAGGCCCGGTAGCTACAATCTCGTTTTCCTGTGTGGAGCCTCCTTTCCCCACTCTCAAGACTGTGTGGTTGGTGGGCCAGACCCCACTGTTGGGGGCGGGTGTGTGTGGCAGCAAAGAGAAAGGCGGACCTGACCAGGCTTGCCCAAACAGCAATTGCATTGTATGGGCCCACCTGTCCCTAAATCAGTGAGACTGACACTCTAGCGTCTTGTTGGGTTTCACATAGGGCGCCTTCCATGGGGGTAATGGAAGTCTGGAATTGGAAGCTGGAGAAGTTTTGAAACATACCCAATATCCTTTCGTTTTAGTTTGGATTCTCTCAGAAGGAGACCCTGAGATCAAAACTTGTGTGAAGGTCGTTTCTCTGGGAGATGTTCTAGTTATTATCGCTGTAAAACAAACTGCTCCAGAATGCAGTGGCCCAAAACAACTGTTTTATTATCATCACGAATTCTGGGTCACAGAATCAGACAGGGCTCAGTGGGGGCTGCTCGTCTCTTCTCTGCAATATCTGGGCCATCGGCTGGGAGGTGACCGGCCAGCTGGGGCTGGAGTCATGCGGGGGTGACTTCATCATCTGCACGTCTGGCAGATGGTGCTGCCTGCCACTGGGAACACCTCCGCCAGTGGAGATGCCCTCCATCTCCACGTGGCCTGGGCTTCCTCATAGCATGGCGCCAGCTTTCCAGAGCTGCCGCCCCAAGGAAACCTGGCAGAAGCTTCATGGGCTTTTCCAGTCTGGTCTTGGAAGTCGTACAGAATCATTCCTGCAGCATTCTATTTATAGGGGCTGGCACAACCCCACCCTCTCCCCCCAGGCTCAAGGGATAGGACAGAGACTCCACCTCTTAACGGTAGAATACAAGGTCCTATCTAAAAGAGCCTGTGGGTGGGAACTGTTGTTGTGACCATTTTAGAAGACACATCTGCTGTAGGAGACGATCCCAGGAATGATGGGAGTGAGGGACGGACGAGGGGAGGGGGGGTGGCAATAAAGGGCACAGTGAGGAGCAGGTTACCTGGGTGGGGAACCAGGGCTCACTCCTCCTGGGGGCTCGGAGAAGACCACCAGACATCACATATCAGTCGGCACTGTCCCTCTGAGGCGCAAGGGGTGGGGGTGGGGCTGGGCCTTTTTTATTCACTGACTCCTGTCCCTTATTGGTTGAATGTGGCCTGAGGATGTTCTTCAGTCTTTGCCGTTTCTGGGCTGCCCAGCACTCAAACTGAGCGAGCATCTGAGGACCCAGAGGATGAAGCTGCCTGTTTACAGTGGCCTCAGAGGTGGCCGAAGGGAATAAGGGGCAAGACTTCAGGACATTTGTTTTCTGTCCAAATCAGCTGGATCCACATTTGCTGTTTGCAGCCAAAGGCCCTGAGCACCTGCTCTCTCCACCCTGCTCCTGGGCTCCCTGCTCCTCCTCTCCCCTTTCGTGTCTGACAAAGAATCTGGCCCCTCAAGCATGCATTTGGGTACGTGAAAGACTTCTGAGTGTTTGGAAGACAAAAGGATTTCTGTGCCATAAAAGGAACATTAAAATCTTCTATTTCCCTACCCCTAAATACTCTAGTCCGTTTCTATAGCTTGGCTTACGGGATTCTGCCCTGTTGCTTGGTGCCATTCTTTCTGGTTTTTCTCCCATCTCCTCTTTGTCACCTCTGCCAACCCATAAGTTCCTATACTTATTTTAGGCAGAAAGTTTGTCTTTTTCTTCTGCAGCTTCAGCGCCTGCCAGCCATCTCCTTAAGGGTGTTGAGGCAACTTTGCACTTAAACTACTCCTCATAGTCACAAAATGACTGCCAGTTCCAACTGGGACAACCTCCTTCTTTGTTCATGTCTTCGCTTAAGCTGCTATACCAAAATTCCATAGATTGGTTGGCTAAACACTTATTTCTCACAGTTCTGGGGGCTGAACATTTGAGGTCAAGGTGCCAGCAGATGTGGTGTCTGGTGAAGTTCCACTTCCTGGTTCTTCTTGCCATGTTCTCATATGGTGGAAGGGGGGAGAGATCTCTGGGGTCTCTTCTTGTACGGGCACTAACCCCGTTCATGAGGGCTTTACCTTCATCACGTGAAACACCTCCCCAAAGCTCTACCTCCAAATACCATTGTATCAGAGGGTTAGGTCTTCAACATATGAATATTACTGGGACACAAACCTTCAGTCCATGGCAGCTCTCATCCAGGAGGAGAGAAAGAGAACCCGTG